GGGAGGCAGCGGAGCTGGGATGCTCTTGCATAGGGTGAAGGGCAGGCGAGGAGGCAGTGAGCTGCTCGCGGAGCTCAGCTCTGGTGAAGGGCCCCTGCTGCTCATGGCTTGTGCTCCTGCTCACCAGGCCTCGCAAAACTTCTTCATCAGGCTGGGTCGGTCTGTGTTCCTCCGGTGCCGGAACCACCTCTCCACCTTCCTCACCGGCAGGTCGCACTGTTTGGCTAAACTGATCAGCTCACCCTGGAAAACAGGTGAGGCAGCAGGGTTCAGATCCGGGTTCGAAGGTCAGAAGGGGCGATATGGGCATCTCGTCTGACCCACCAGAGAGCCCAGCTGGAGGCTGCTGGCAAGCCCAACTCTGTTCAAGCTAAGGCATCTTTCAGAATGCTGTCCCTTCTTAGTGTAAAGACCTCAGATAGTAGAAAATCTTTCCGTTCCCCCATAAGCAACTGGTTATTAATACTGAAACTGGCCAAATACTGAAACTTCACATTTTTTATGTGAACTTCCCCAGTTTCACCTTTCAAACTTTGGTCTCATCTCCTCACAGGAGTTTGTTGTCGAATCACTTCCTCACCCTGTCTTAAGAGACCGAGTCCCTTAAAACTGTTACTCCAAGAAAGATTTACTGCAACTTAAATAATTTTTAAAGTTCTGCACTGAATCTTGTCATGCCTTTCAGCATTCTGATGCAGTATCAGCCAATAACCTGACTGACGTCATGAGCAGATGCAACACCATTTTCCTACTGGATATTATCCTGTTGTGGTAAACCTGTAAGGGATAATTTTTCAATAGATTACCCACAGAAATCCTGCAATTACCTTCCTTCTTGTCCTTAGGCTCTTAAGAGTTCAGCATGTGACGTGAAAAATGTTTGTCATGTTTTATATTCCTTCTGGAAGTGTCACCATGGATAGCCTTATTTTTTAAGTAAAGCAATAGTTTTTCACAGAATGCACTTACCTTAATGGTATCATGTAAGACTGACTTACATAGTCCAAGCATGTTGTACAAAAGTATGTCCATTACCAATTTTCAGATGTGCTTCTTTCCACTCTTACTTAGTGCCTTCTGTTCTTGTGGTGGAGATAAATGGAGACACTGATTTATAATCTCCAACTGCTCCATAATGTGGAATTCCTCCCAAGGAGAAGGCTGCTGAGAACAGCAGAAACTCATCTGACTCATAAGCAGGTGTCTGAGAGCTGATGGGAGAGGGAGGAGGCTAGAAGACTGGCTGAGGTGTAACCGGTGAACAGAGAGAGCAAGGCAGCAGCCCGTTGCACCGTTCTTGCTCCACGTCACACTGCCGTCGGGAGTCTCATGGTGAGGATACGCTCCAGTATCACAGATTCTCTGGGATAAAAGTGCCAGCTTCAGCACAACGTGGGTGCAGGTAAAGCTGTGGAGAAAACCTGCTTATAAAGCTAGGCCTTGAGTCAGATCTCTGCGACAGGAGTAGTTTTACCGAGAAATGTGTGGATTTCACAGACAGGCAAGAGGAAGGTCAGGGACCACAACTGTTCCTGAGAACACTCCCTCCCACTGCTGGGGAGAGAGGCTGGCTGCGCAACCCAGATGAATACCTGCATTTTTATTTTAGCCACCATTCTTTTACTTTTAACCTGGTACTGAATGTCCTGGGGCTCCACATGCCCCACTGCAGTATGAACCATGCCCCAACAGCCTTGTCAAGGCAGCAACATGTTCGCACTAGGACTGCC